TCATGTGGGGCCCCGATGAGTGATGCGTCCACTCCTCGCTGGAACTCTCTAATTAAACCCGGTGCTCTCATTCAAGGACTTTTGAGAGAGAGGAGCCGGGCGGTTTTTCTGTCTGGTGAGACATTAGAAGCAGCCATTACAGCACTTTCCCCCACCGGGGCTCTGGAGCACACTAATAGAATGTGCTGATTATTAAGTATTGACGCGAGGTGGAAATGATCTGTTTTTTCCTGGAAGAGCGCTCATTTAATTTTCCGTCATCAATTATCACAAGATGATTGTTTTTCCAGCGCTAACCCCCCCCCCCCTTTGTTCCACCTGCTCGTCTGGAGCGGTGACTGTCGTCTTCAGCGTTTCACTCTCGTAGTTTATTAAAATGTCAGAGCCTCTGCCATTGTTGCAAAAATAAAAGGCTTGTTTTTTTCTTCTTCTCTCTCTCTCTCTCTCTCTCTAACCAGAACTGAGGGGTGGTTTGACATTTTGCGGGGCACAGACATGTGCATAAGAACGGGGTAAGAATGAATGCCATCTTTTATCAGTCCTCTGTGCTTTGGCAGCGCTTTGTGGATGCACTTGTTCCTTTCACTTTTCATTTTGTTAACATACTTGGGGGCTTTGAGCAGTGACCCAACCCTAGGTACACACACACACACACACACACACACACACACACACACACACACACGCACGTGCACAGGCACAGTTGCGTTCCCACCCACTCCAGAGGGGAGGATCATGGCGGGCTTTATCTGAAAGTGAGCACAGCACTTTCTGCTGGCCGGGGCCGGGCGCGGCTCGTTTTGCCTGTGATGAAGCTTTAGCCGGTGCAGACTGAGCCAGAACAGAAGATTTTACTCTCTGCTTGCCCCGAAGAATCCAAACTATTCCACCCAGCAGAGAACGGATTAGATTCTTTGAGGTCAGGGTAACTACGTTTGTGTTTAACCAACAAAAACTGCATCCTCTGTCCAGTGGACTGGGAATTTCAAGCTTTTTGTTGTTGTTCTTTGGTGTGTATTCACTTGTTACATGTCTGTGGTGAGCTTGTTCAGCCTAAGCAGGGCCTCAGGGTGTTTGTCTCATTTAAGAATGGTGTTTGCTCACACAGGCACATTTCAGCAAGGTAATGATGAATTTTTGAAAAATATTATAAAAACAATATTCATTTTATTTGGGAAAAGAAAGACAAACAAACAATGAAGAGGATGAAAAACAGTCCTTTAGTCATGTGATACATCAGAAAGGACAGGAAGCAGTGTTGTCTGGTCTCCTCAGGTCCCCTCCTCGCTCCTTTCCATTTCTCCCAGGCTGACACCGGCTGCTCTGCCACCAGCCGTTTGTCACCATCTGACGTTCAGCCCCTTCTTAAAAAAGTTTCATCCACCTTAATCGGACTTATCAAATTTGTACGTTTTCAATGTCAAGATGGCACCTCGGCAGTGGAGGGCAGGAGCACATGTTGAACATAACTTCACAACAATCTCTCTGTTCTTTAGCTTTTTAGGGGGATTTCAAATGGCGTTTTTCTTAATTTGATTTGGTAGATTTACTTTATTTTTGTTACGGTATGTTATTTCTGTTATGCACATTTTTGGGAGCGCTGCTCTTTATGGTTTCAGGTGGTGGTTGTTTGGCTTTTTCCATGTCCCCCGCTTTGGATTTGTCTTGCTTGGTTTTTGTTCCTGTGCCTTGGACATTAATATTCTGGATAAGATGACACCATGTCTTGGGGCCCCGGGGCCGGTGCCTGGTCAGCTCACTCAGCCAGCTGCCCCCGGGTACCCCGGTTTCTCTGTCCCTCTGCTGCATTGCAAACTCCACGCCTGCATGTTGTCTTCTGGTTAAAAGCCCTTTGGGAAGCCTGCAGAGAGCATCATGTGAAAAGTCAAAGTACAGTCAGGGCAGACAAGGCCAGTTCATGGACACTAAAACCAAAGCTCTAGGAACAAAACGAGCATAAATCCGCAAAACCCCCACTTTTTTTTCTTTTTTTTTCAGCATAGAGATTTATTTATTATTGTTATTTTTTCGGAACAGCATCTGTATTTATGCACTGACACAAAACCCCACGGGGCACACTAATAACAACAGAAGTGGAATTTGAATAGAAACGGGCTTTTAAAAGCTTATTTGAACCAGAAACGCAGTCATATAAACTGCTGATGACCTTAGAGAGCGCACATGATTTGGAGCCCGGGCATGTTGCAGTTATGGAGGAGAAGGAGTGCAGAACGTAGAGTCTTTGTGTTTGTACAGTATGTTCACCTCCCACCTGCTGTGTATCAGCCTCACACGTGGGCGATCCCCGCTCACTATGGAGACAATTATCTGAGCTATAAGTCATCCTTTTACTGTTAAATAGCTGCATACATATACACATGCGCGTCACTGAAACAGAGCCGGCAGCTCATTTGCACTTTTTCATAGAACCGAATTGAATGACAAATAAGCCTCAGTCTGCAGGGAGCAGATTGTGTTGAGTTGTGATTCCTGTGGCTGCCTGGATTGTTCTGTGAAGCAGCACGTTGTTTGTGATGTTTCTTTGGATTCCCCCACTGTTAAGTCAGTTCATTCTTTCTAATCAGACGGTTCAAAGTGGGAAAGGGTCACCGGATGTTAAAGGTAAGAGAGGAAGAAGAAGCTGAGGGGCTGTGTTTTGTTTGTGAGTTCAGAGGTGGCGTTTCGTTCGCTTTATGAGGAGAGGGGGATACGATTCAAACGGCACCGAAGAGCTTCAGCGGTACAGTCACGGCAGCGTTGGGCTGTCAGTGGGAATTCTTGATACTGTGAACTGTTTCACGTTCAGTTTGTGGTGGGAGCAGATGAACACGCAGGTGTTGCATTCTGGTACAGCCTCTCTGATGCTTTCAAATGCATCCAATCAAAGCTGGCATTTTGTTGGCCATGTCTTTCATTCCAGATTCCAGGTTTGCTTTGTTCTGTGACGCTTCAGGAAAGTTCAGCGGACAGAGATATGTTTTTTTAAAAGAGCTTTTTTTTTTCATGTAGTCAAAAAACAACTCTTATGAATGCGAAGCGCACTGCGGGCAGACAGCTTACTGGGCCGGCTGAGCTCAGGAGGCCAACGGCACGCACACAGTGGGAAAACAATAAGAATAGCTGACACCTCTCAGCCACCAGAACGCGTTCAGCTGCGGGGCCGCGCAGAGCAGAGAGGAGAGGAGGAGGAAACGGTGAGACAGCGGCTGATGAGATGCCACACGTCTCACCGCTGGTCTAAAAAAGTACCAGCACTGTGACCACAAAGTGGATCCTGTAGCTGCTTGCTTCAGGTGCACTGTATTCAACCACGAGATTTTGTGTGTGAAACATTCTCTGTCACACAGAAATTAGAATATGCAGAAACAGAGCAAGGTGTAGACACACTCTAGTTAAACTCCGACTGGGGTAAAGGCAATAGAATTAGCCTGCTCCCAACCCCAGGCCAAGCGTAATGACACACCACCCTGTGCTGATAGCGAGTTGAGAATATTTTTCAGTAGGAAAAATTTGGCTAACTATAAATGGGCAGAAACAGACTTTTTGAGCACTAGTCTCTCAGATGGAGTATTATCCCGAGTCCCAACCATCTCCTGATGGGAGGCTCTCTGGACCGTCATCCCATGTTGAAAGATCTCTGTTTTAACAGTGAAAAGTATGTGTGGAGTGACTTTCAGCTCTAGCGGAGTTTCTTCTACCATTTCCCACAGTGTAAACCACTAGTTTCCTCTCAATATAGCAAATCATTTCAACCAGAAGCTATCTTGAGTGTTGATTGAAGCCATGCTTTTGCATCGCCCTGGTAAAGACCAGGTGATCACATGGAAAACAACCTGCCAGTGAAAGCCTTGATTCAAAGCCGATGTCGTTCAATTCACCTGTGCAAACGAACAGGAAACACACCGAATATGAACCTTTCCTCTTCGGGTGTGAATTATGCATGACGCTAAAGAGTATTTTGGTATCACTTAGGAGAGCTTCGACACTAACTCCTCAGCACTTGACAGCGTTCTGCTGAGATGGCGCTGGCTGCTGCTGCCTTCCGTTGGAGGACGGCTGAGTGTCCGTTGCTGCATTTCCTCTGCAGATACCGGCTGAGACGCTCTCACTGTCTCCGTCTGCCTGTGCCGGTGCATATAAAGTCACACCTCTGACATCTGTACCATTTACAGTCTGGTCGTCTCATCGCGTCTCAAACATCCTGTGCAGCTTTTTCTGTACCTGAATAGTTGAGTCACATCTAAAGGAAACGGCGCGGTGGCATTTATGATACCAACTCCTCCGTTCAGTCCTACAGGATGTCGATACTCAGTTCATTAGATCTACCGCTGATGATTTACATATTCGAAAATAACATGAGATGATGGTATGAGGACAGCACACAGTTTCCACATTGCTAACAGCATGATGTCAGCTGGAAACATGGTAACAGACTGATGATAAAATGTTAGATGGTTGGAATCAACATGTTATTCATTTGGGGGACTGAGGCACATCCCAGCAGAAAAGATATTCTAAATATAGAATTATCTTCTGTACAGAAACCTGGACAAAGTAAGTTGTTATTACTCGTTATAGCTGAAATGATAATCCATCCATCCATCCATCCATTTTTGTAACCGCTTATTCCCTAATGGGGTCGCGGGGGGGCTGGAGCCTATCCCAGTGGTCAATGGGATAGGCAGGAGAGGTGGAGTACACCTTGGACAGTCCATCGCAGGACCACACAGAGACACACAAGGACGAACAACCACACACACTCACACCCCGGTTCCCCCGGGGACTCGAACCCAGAACCCTCTTACTGTGAGGCAAACTATCCACACCACCGCGCCGCCCTGAAATTATAATGAAAAAACAAACGCTCTTGTTTGATACAGTGAATAATCCTTTTTTTGGTGTTTGACAGTCATTTCCAGTTAGAGTTACTCACTGTGAATGTAAGGTGGTTCTGTTTGTTTTCCGATGAAAACACAGTCATTGTTTCTATGTGTATTTCAGGGCTCCCTGCATCCCCAGAGTCTTCCTGTCCTCTGCGCCCGTTGAAGCCATGGACTAGAGCTGCTTCTGGCGTTGACAGTGCTGTGGTCTTCAGATGGCTCCTCAACAAGCATCAGCCAATGTGCAGAACGTAAGTATGAGGGTCGCCTTTAGCTGCGGGATGACAACACTTCAGTATCATAAACTGTCAGACTGCATTCTTAATGTTTTCACCATCAAACTCCTTATATGGATCCAAAACAGACGTGAATTGATTCTGTTAGCAGCTTCTTGAAGAGTGACCAAAATAGGGTCTGTGACTGTGTTTGGACGTCTCTGAGAGCTGGTGTTCTGTTTTGCTTTTGGTCAGGCTTTTCTGCACCCGCAGATCTGATCTGGCTCTGTGACAGCTCAGGAAAGTGTGATCGTTTCTCTACGTTCGTTGTAGGTTTATGCATTTTGAATTCCAACTAATGTCCAAAAACTATTTGAAACCACCTTTGCTTTGTGATATGAAGTAGGAAATGTACTAATCAACTAAAAGAATACGACTCTCGAGCTGGGTATGTCTAGCACACAGCTTGATGATGTATTTTTACCACAAAAGAAATCTATTTGCTTAAGTATTTTGAAAGATTTGTGAGAGCTTCAGATATCATTCTGGGGCTTTGAACTTTAAAGACAGACAGTAAAGTTTTTTTTTGTTTTGTTTTTTTACCACACAGTGTTTCCAGTAATATTCTAAAAGACCAAATACAGTGTGTGTCTGACAAACAGTCTAAATGTCATGATGTTCAACGGGAAGCTGGACACTGAGGTTTCGTCTGGTACAGGAAGAAAAACATGCTTTGTGGTGTTTGAGTCATAATTGCCTCCCACAGGGAAAGTGATCTGAATAGAGCTGCTGTCAAGGGAATTCATGAGGTCATTTCTTTTAATAATCTGCTATTTCTGTGTCTTGCCCCACACTACTAATCTCAAGGATTTTTGTTCTGCAAAGCAATATTCTCACTTGATGCTCAGCCTGTTATTTTTCTCTCAAAGTGTCCATCCCTCGAGTGTAATTATGCACGTGCTGGCGCATTAGGCCTCACAAAAGGCAAGCAGACTCTTGGGTTGTGCTTTGACCTCTGAGTTGTGATATTTGCCTCAAATGAATAGTTGTTCCTTTTGGAAACTGACAATTTATTATTCTGGCTTTGTTGTTGACCATTGGCCATTAACCTGTAGGTTGGGAGCAGGTTTTTCTCACTGACACATACAACCCTCGCCCGAGCTGTCCTCTCCTCCTGGTATGGTAATGCTCTGGTGACACAATGCAACCAGACGGCAACTAGGTCAGCAAAACCACGTCTGAAGTGCAGCTTTGACTCATTAATAATGCAGATCAGGAAGGCTAAAGTAGCTTTGTCTTCAACGCCGATCATTCCCTCTCTGATGCCAACAATCAAAGAGCACCAGCGAGAGGACCTCTCATGTTTGAGTTACTTCTTTTGTGGGTTTTAGGGAAGGTGCCAAGATGTTCTGCGGTCGTCCTTCCTTTGTTTAGAGTCGTCCACTGAGGTGGCTCCGGCTTCAGACCTCTGGTCCGCACACTGAAGCCAGGCTGTCACAGCCTCTCAAACCCGTAGGCGTTTGCTGTTTTACTGCTGACGCTCGGAGCCTGCTTCTTCTATCACCCACACAGCCTCAAGTGGAATGAAAACTATGCACGGACTCATTCATTCCAGGCTCCGAAGGAGTGAGTGCTTGTGCGTCTTAGCTGTGTTGTTTATGACCTAACAAGGATCATTAGGGTGGTCCTGCCATTAAGCCGTGTTGAAAATGTCCCCTTTAGCTAGCATCACGCTAAACAGCATCACGCCAAACCACCCGACCCCAATAAACAGTCAACAGGCAAAGTTTAGATTTTGGATCTTATTGGATCCTACCCAGAGACCACTGGTTGACACTCAGTGGTAGGAAGGATCTAAATGTTATGGTCGTGGGCAGTGGGCCAAAGCATTCAGAGATAAGCAGGTGCGTCCTGGATGTGAGCACAAGCCGTGTTGTTGATATTACTAATGTGATGCTGGACATTATGTTATGACTGTTAACAGGGGGGAAAGGAGGAGCTCTGGGAGTTGAGTGCTCCTCACAGAAGCAGGAGCTATCAGCTCTCCGAAGCATTACGCGTCAGTGCAAACAGGCCGAAACTACCAGCTGGGGCTGAAATAAGAGACGGGGCCGTCCGGCTTGTATTTTTCCCACAGGGGTTTTTTAGGGATGAGCTTTTCAAAGGTGTGGCTCCACACTTGACTGTAAAACAGCATACGGAAAAAGCTTGCCGTGTTCCTAGCCGCTGTGTTTCTGCCCCCCAGATGAGAACGTGAAGGCTGGCGTCCACCAAGGCCACCGCTGCACCCCCCTGGGCAGCGCACACACATGATCACATGACTCTGGACATGGACGCGGTCCTGTCAGACTTTGTTCGGTCCACGGGGGCGGAACCTGGTCTGGCAAGGGACCTGCTGGAAGGTAAGAGACTCACGGTTTAGCACAGCCTGGTTCGATCAGCTGCCCGCAGTCCGCCACAGTGGAGGGAAAAGGCAAAGAGGAGAGGAAATGAGCTGAAAAGGAAATAACAGAAACAAGGGGGCTGGAGGAGAGAGGACCGGTCGGCTGATTTAGAGGTGACAGGTTTACGAGAGCACTCCCCAGGGAGAGTTTGGCGTCCATTCATTGGAACTCATTGAGGAGCAGAGTGCTCCTGGCACTTGTGTAGCTTAGATATAGTGCCCTTTTAAAAAGGAGAAAAACAAAAACAAAGAAAGACAGGCGGACAAAGGTTGACACAAAAGAAAGCTGGTGGACATTCATCCGAATCCGTGTCACTGGGGGCTGAATTATTCTCACAGCAACTTTTTTTTTTAGATGCAACAAACAACTTATTCTGTCATCCGTGTGCTGAATATCACATGGCAGTGCTGTAATATCTATACTCTGGACTTCCTGATGACTTATCATCTCTTCTCCTGGTGCCTTGTTTGTGTTCCCCACCAGTGGATCGTAATGTCGCTCCTTCCTGTGAGATCTCGAATCCTAAATCTTCCCTTAGAGCGCTGAAATTCTCGGTCCATGCAGCATGACTTTGTCCTGTAAATATTTTTGTGACTGCTCTGATAAGAAAAATAATTGAAGGGTTTGGCATCTGTCTCTTCTCCACTGACATGTTTTTATCTGCACCTGCACTGGCACAAAGCATCAGTGGAACATGTGACAGGAGCAGGCATCAGACAAGACAGCCCATGTTCTGTCTCAGGTTTTTTTTTTTAAATGTATTTAATCAGCTTTTCTTTTCCTGTGCTGTTTTCCTTTGATGTTAGCTTAGCTATCACAAGCTGCACTGACCAGCCTCAGTCAGGAGGATGTGCAGAGCAGGGACGGAGCCACGTGTAGTGCTTCCCTCTAGAGGATGTTTTAGATATTGAACCACAGTGAACAGACCCCGAGCTTCCTTGTTACATTTAATGTGTTATTATTACATTTTCCATGGAAAAATAAGTGCTTTGAAACTCCTTTTTTTAATTAAAATATTTCATAGGTATTTTTTAGAAAATGAGTTTTTTGTTTTAGAAAATCTTTAACAAATGGAATGGGAGATAAGTGGAGTTGCATTGTTTCTAATGGACTCTGATGATGAATGCGCATGCTGTCAGAGATTGTTTTGCTACTTTGTGGAGTAGCGGCTGTGAGGGACATTGCACTAGGTGCAGAGTGGCTGTGCGGCTAGACTGTGTCTTGTGTTCTTGAGTTTGTGTAGCTATAATCCATTCAGCGGAACCAGTTTTGCATTGATTGGTGTGAGAGCCAGTGATTAGCGGCGCTAGGTTTCATGTTCAGACTATCGACAGTCATCGTGTCTGGAAGTCGGAGAGTAACTTCCTCCAGGTCTTTTCCACAGCGAGTCCATTAATGGATCCTGTTTCACAAACACACTCAGGTTACATGCGGCGTGTTTAGTTTTAGGCATTAATGTGCCTCTTTCTTTTTTTAAATGATATTCGACATAGAGGGGTTTGCCCGTAGTTTCGGTGATGCTCTGAGAAGTCACACAGAGATATAAAAAGACTGACTCCTGTCTGTTGAACCTTGGGGGGGATTTCTGTTGCAGAGACAGAACCCAAAGGAGACAGCTGTGTGTGTGTGTGCATACGGGGTGTTACTGTCGCTATTTTTGAGGCTTCTGTCCCCCTCACGGACTCCATTTTTTTTACACCACCCAACATGTTGTTAATGCTGTGATTCAGCATGTTTTTCTGGACTTAAAGAACGACACGTTTTTACTCAGTGTCAGTTCAGTATCTTTACAATCTGGGCTATTCATTAAAATCACAAAAGATCTGTAGAAATGGGTCGTCACTAAGAAATTGCCATTTAAAAAAAAAAAACCTTTGTCAAATAACTGAGTGGCTTATTTTCTGCTGGAACTGCAGCATCCATGGCATTATTTTTTTATGCAATGCATCCCAGTTTCTCCCCTCGCTAACCACTATGGGTATCATGTTTGTTGCAAGATAACTCTGTTTACTGTAAACTTAAGGGCACAGTGTCTTGTTGCACAAACATCTAGTTCCCTGGGAACATTTTGTGAATCAAAACAGTGTGATTAAACTGTAATGAACTGTGAGCATTTATCCATCACATTTGCAATCAGACCCAGCGTTTTCTTTGCGTTTTGCAGGTAAAAACTGGGACCTCAGTGCCGCTCTGAATGACTATGAGGAGCTCAGGCAGGTCCACACTGCCAACCTGCCGCAGGTCTTCAACGAGGGCCGCTACTACAAGCAGCCAGAGGCGCGTGACACGCCCACCCATGTCAGCAAGATCGACAAGCCGTGCGCGCAGAAGCAGGAGGACAGCGCGCAAGGTAGCAGACCCGTCTCAGCATCGACCGGCTTCGACGTTTTTTTCTCCGTCAGCATCTGCTTCGGGCTCGCCCGATCAATGCCTTCGTTTACTCTCTTTTCCAGAGAAGCGCCTGTCCCGCGGGATCTCCCACGCCAGCTCTGCTATTGTCTCCTTGGCACGGCTGCAGGTGGCCAGCGAGTGCACCAGCGAGCAGTTCCCTCTCGAGATGCCCATTTACACATTCCAGCTGCCAGACCTCAGCGTCTACAGCGAGGACTTCAGGAGCTTCATAGAGAGGGATCTGATAGAGCAGTCCACCATGATGGCTCTGGAACAGGCTGGTAATTACCTTAGGATATAATGCGTTTATTTAGATTCCCTTTAACTGATATGTGTAAGAACATCCCACGCATCCCCCCCGTCCCTCCTTCACCTATTCAGACTGAACTAAGACACTGGAGCCCGACAGAGCAGAAGTCATAATAAATGCCACTGAGAATGAGTAATGGGGACAGATGTGCTCTGTGAGTCTGAGGCAGAGCAGATCAGAGCAGCAGCGTCGAGAAGAAAGACGGCAACAACTAATTCAAAGCATTCCAGATCCCAGATGATTCATGTCCCAGCTGACGCTTTGAACTAACGATGAGAAACTTGTTAGTGAAGTTCGGATCTACCAACACGCTTCCTTACACCTCACCTCCCCCTTTTTTTTAATCACAATCTGCAAACACAACCAAGAGGAATAGCTCGGAAGTGCGTAAAGCATCAAAACACAGATCAGATGGAATCTGTCTCCTTTGTATTATAGCTTCCTCTTAAACTATGTAATCAAAAACAAGCTAGTATCTGATTTAGAGGTTAAAGAGAAAATCACAACCATATATTTAACTTAACATACAGGTATTAAAATAAAATCTGGGTTCGACATTACTCCATCTCCACTGCAGATGTGTAGTATAAAAAAGGGCAGCAATGAATTGCACATTTGCTTTGTGACTGGTTATTTCTCAGCCAAGATTGTTCATGTGCACTGCATATGGAGCTCCCTTTGGTGGGACTTCATAAAAAGGACACGGGAGGTGTGAGGAGTCAAACTCGCCGAAAACCTCATTTGAAATCGATCAAGAAAACGTCCAGCCACAAACTCCAAATTGAGAAAGCAGCTGTCTTTTTGTCACCACCACACCGAGGGGCTAAATCACTCCCAGGCTCTTTTCTTTCTTGCTGTTCCTGAATAAATGATCCGGGAGGATCTGTGTGGGCTCACGGTGATGTGGGCGGCCTGCAGAGAGGCAGCCTGCAGCACTGGGGACTGCAGGTTGGGCGGAGGCGCAGAGGAAGCTCTTGGAAACATTCTGCAGACAGTGAACTGGCCCAGGGCTTCGGCGACCTGACGGAGGCTGAGAACATCATTCTTAATGTTCAGTCTGACATGCTAATTGTGCTCTTTAGCTAATTGTTCTCCACAGTTAGAAAGTGGTTCCTGCTCTCGTGCTTTCGCCGTTACGACTCTCAGAGTTAATGGACGAGTAAAAGATTTCTATACATATTTGTCAATACCTGCTGGAGCACCAAAGTGGTCTGTGAAATTTGCAGCACTGTGGACATCCACAGAATCTGATGCATGGAAGCTATCTGCTATCCCACTGCCACTATTGACTGATGACCTGAGCCTTCATGGGTCCTTTCAGGAGGCTGGTCTTTAAGCATTTGAGTTCAGAGTGCATTTATATTGGAGAAGTAATGTCGGAAAGTAATATAATAGTGATAAATAATGAGTGTTTTGGATCTTTAAAGCATTATGAACCACTAAATACAATATGGGCCCTTAGTGGAAAATGAAAGCAAGATTTAGAGGGACCATTTTGTCATAAATAGTGGATAAACTGTAAACTGAGCTGATGTTTTTGATTACAGCGAAGAACCAGCTTCTGATTCAGGGCAGCTGGCTTTCTGATAAAACACCAAATGTTGAAAAAATCCTTGTGAGCATGTTCGGCTTTAATGAAAGAGGTATAAAGGAGGAGCTCAACGTGTCAGCGGTTCAGTTTGGCTTAAGCTTAGTGAATATTGTTGTTTATCCGTCTAGATTTCTTTTGTCTGATTCTCTCCTTTCTGATGATCTCTAAAGGTTTTTAAATAACCTCTCTAAAGGTTTGTACTGCTTGCTGCTTCTCCAAATTGTCATGGCTACCTTTTGTGCAGTGCACTGCCTTTATGAGGATTTTTTGATTAGGTTTTCTTTTTTAAAATCCAAGTGGGCAATGTGTTTGACTCTATTTTAATGATTAATTCAGAAAATTGTCTTTTCATGTTTCCATCTTTCAGGTTTCTGGCTAGTTTTGTAAAAAATACTTTTTTTTAAAAGACTCTTTGTGATGCATTTCCACTCTTGTGCTCAGGTCGCCTGAACTGGTGGTCCACCATGTGCACCAGCTGTAAGAAGCTGCTCCCTCTGGCCACCACAGGGGACGGGAACTGCCTTCTGCACGCCGCCTCTTTGGGTGAGCTTTTCGTTTATGGTGTGCGATCCACCATATTAGCCCGTGCGATCGGAGGTTTTAGCTGAAAAGCAGTGGGCGCCGCATCAAAAATGAGACGGAGAAAGGAGGGGTTAAAGCCATACGAGCAAGGAAGGGAGAGGAATAAATGTCTGTGACAGGGGCTGCGTCTTCAGGTATGCTGGCCTCCCCAGTGTGAGGACTGCTTGAGCAGCAGAAGGCTAGCGGCAACCAAGTAGATGTAATCCGCACTGACAAGCTCTGTCTCTTGGAGACATTTTTAGCTAAAGAGCTGAGGTCATCTCCGAGTGGCAAAATGAGCATAATCTCAGCCTAGTTTCATCTCCAACACCTTGTTTTAGTCAGCTGCGTGCAGTGGCTTTGTTGCACTTAAGGGGTAACTTTCCATCACTGTGCGTGCGTGGGGATGTGTGTGTGTGTCCTGTATGTGTGTGTCGAGCAGGGATGTGGGGCTTCCACGACAGAGACCTGATGCTGAGGAAATCTCTGTACACCATGATGAAAAGTGGAGCAGAGAGGGATGCTCTGAAGAGGAGGTGGAGGTGGCAGCAAACCCAGCAGAACAAGGAGGTAGGAAAATTGTCAGCATTTTTGCCGGCCTCACCTTCTAAATACGGCATCTTTCACTTTTGGTACATTTGTAGGTGTAGAGAAGAGAAGCACTTAATCTGCAATCACTGATTTTAGCTTCTTTGTTTCACTTATGCAGTTTTTTACTGAGGGAAATTTTTCTGTGTGTGTGCATTAGTACATTAGTCTCAGTACTACTAATGCTGTCAAATCCTCTGCATTTCTCCTCCCTTCTCCTGATGTGTTGGATTAAAGGTATTTTCAAATCTGGTCATAAAAATTGTGTCACCGAAGATGGCTCAGGAAAGAAGTGGTCCAGATGCTCATGATTTAAAAATGCCCCAGGCGTCCTGGTGGCCTAGTGATCTAAGATGCATCGCATGAAACGCAGGGTGTGCGTGTGTGTGTGTGTGTCTGTGTCTGTGTGTGTATGTGTGTGTGTGCGTGTGTGTGGGTGTGTGTGTGTTGGCAGGAACCTGTCTTGCATGGCAGCCACTTTTTTCCATAATTGCTCATAATAAAAAATACTGGTGTGTTGTACTGCTTTGAATAACTGATTATGGTACCTTTGAATTTGGCTCCAATAGAGAGAATACGTTTCATTTTAATTCTGTGGGGAATGCAAGACACGCTCTCCTCAGAACTGCATTTTTTTATGAAAAGTTCTCTTTTTTTTTCATTAGTCAGGGCTGGTGTACACTGAGGAGGAGTGGGAGCGAGAATGGAACGAGCTGCTGAAGTTGGCCTCCAGTGAGCCTCGCACGCACCTCAGCAAGAACGGAAACACTAGCGGAGGGTAAGAGCATCAACTCACGTATGCATTCCCCCCTAAAAGCTGCAAAAGCACACTCATATTAAACTACCAAGACCCCACACACAGAACAGTCATGCTAGACGAATGCAGTTCTGCGGCAGGTGCACAGTCAGGACAGGATGTGAGCGGATAAAGCAGCAGCTTACGCAGTCTCTAGCGAACATCAGACGTTACATCTTTCCTGCTGCGTTTCTCAGCTTTGTGTAGAGGAAATGCAGCAGAGGGCCAACTCCCAGTTCCCACTCACACTGCTTCTCCCGCAAACCCCTCTGCAAAGTAACAGCGCGAGTCTGCGCCATCTACTGGCCGCCACCAGCACCCAGGAGTTGTGCCGAAACAGCCTCCCCCACGCTGTGGCGACTTTCAGCTGCACGGGGTTTGCGTAGATAAAGGAAAAAGTGTGGCTTTTTTTTTCTTCTGTTTTTTTTTTTCAGCCTGTGTTTGAGAAGCGGCTCGGAAACTAAATCTGGTTTCCTCCTCCCACGCAGAGAAACCTTGTGGTTTGCCTGTGTTTCCATATTCTCTGAGATAAATATGTGCACGTTGTCACGTAGATGCTAGCAGCTGATTTTTATTGGAATAAAAGCCACTGTGATAAACACAAATGATGGCACTTAAACAATCCCATCGTTAGGGTTTACTTTAAAGGTTAAAGAAATGTAATGTTCCCCTACAAAACAAATCTTTATATGATTTGTCAAATTTGAAACCCTCCATCTCTGAAAATATCCATTTCAAGAGACTCATTTATTCAGTTATAACGGAGGGTTGAACCTCTCATTGAGTTTGACTATAACACAGTAATAAGGTTAGGGGTTTTTGATGGTCCTGATGTGAGATGAGTCAGTGAATAGGTTGAGTGGGATTCTCATATTAAGAGGCTCTTTATTAGAGGGAATCTGGCAGCGTGGCTGTTTGTGTGGCTGACAACTTAATTGTTCCACATTCCCCGGTTCCCTCGTGGCTGCATGCTGGAGAGCTCTGCCTCCCTCTGCATCTCTCTTTTTGTCAAACACGTGTCTGAAAAAGTGGATGTTGCCGTGTCGCCTGTGAGGGTCAGCAAACACGAACACAAATCCAAAACGACGCCCATTTGCCCACATCAAACATGCACGTGACTAGTATGGACATTTGCCTTGTCGGTGACCGCTGAGCTGATGAGCATCTTTACCTCAGGGTGGACAACTCTGAGGATCCAGTGTATGAGAGTTTGGAGGAGTTCCATGTGTTTGTGCTGGCTCACGTGTTACGCAGGCCCATTGTGGTGGTGGCTGACACCATGCTCCGAGACTCAGGAGGAGAAGGTACATGCAGTGCATCTTTACTTGACCTTCCCCAGCACAGTGGGAGAAGCTTAAGAGTGACGTATGCGGACTGAATTCCAGCTTTTGCCCCGATCCCGTTCGGAGGGCTCTACCTGCCGCTGGAGGTGCCTCCCAGCCGCTGCCACTGCTCGCCTCTGGTCCTGGCCTACGATCAAGCCCACTTCTCCGCCCTGGTGTCCATGGAGCAGAGAGACCAGCAGCGAGAGCAAGGTAAGCACATGTCCAGCGTCGCAAAGATCGACGCGTTATCTTCTGAGAAGAGCTAATGGCGTTCTCGGGTTTGCTGCATTGCAACATGGCAGTTTCAGCTTTTGTGAGATAAAGGAGCTTAGCAGTCTTTGCCTTTGGAGCGGTGGCTAGAGTGCAGGAATAAAGGTGTGCGGTCTGCCTGTCCTGCCGGAGTTGAATAATGTATAACCCGGCAGTGTAATTACCTGTGATCCATTATTAAAACAGGCAAGTTCAGGCAGCATCAATCAGGGAGTGGCCAGCATGGAGGAAAGTGGACATCCCGCTGCTGCCTCTCACTTGTTATGATCTGACGAAATAATCCGGGCTTATATATCAACAGCATATTTCGTGACTGAAGTCAATCCCAACATCGTGTTGTTGTAATTGTTATTTCTCACGATAGGTGCGTCTGTTTGTGTGTTCGCGGGCGTGTGTCATATGGTGTTGACTGACTCTTGTTTTTGTCTTGTTTAGCCCATTCAGATGCCAATGTTCCCACTCCGGATGCATTGCTTATTCTCGAGGTCAGAGCATTCCTCACATGGAGGTCCTTTTAATTGACAAATAGAGTGGATCTCCTTGACAACCAGCCTTAGTAGTCATGGCACTCTTCTGAGTCTGGCTCAGTGGGTGGAACTCACTTGTCATTTGCGTGGGAAGCTGGCCAAATCTGTCTCTGTCTATGTTGCTCACTCTCAAGCATAGACACACTTCCTGTCTGCCCCCCCCCCCCCACCCCCATCTCTCTGTTTCTTTTTCTTAACACATAAGGTCCTTGCCGATAAACTCTAACCCAGTTATTAGGCCGGCCACTGGAGTGTGGCAGACACTCCGTGACTGAGCTGCTAACTTTGTCTTAAAATCAACCCCTTTAACGATCTATCAGCACATCAAAGTCAGCCAACTCCTCAGCCCCAAACAGCCCATTACTTCAGTGGGTGTTTCAGTGCGGAGGATGGGCTTCTCTCCTTGTCCACCAGATGGTGCATACGTCCAAAGAACCCGCTGCGGCTCGGTCACAACAAGTGCGTGGCTGCGACTCTTACTTCTTCATTTGGGTACACGGTGTTCTGTGATAAGATCCGAAAGTCTGCCTCTCTCCTCAGAATGCTCTGAAAATACTCCCAACCCCTAACTCGGCCCACTCGCATGTCAAGCGATAACTCATATTACACCGCAGTGATACCATTTCAGAGTTGCTTGCATCAGCAAGCGTGCGAGCTGAGACGTACACAAAGTGTACTATCTCTGAACGAATGCCAGACAGACGGGCCTAATCTGTCTCCGCTAATAAAGACAGAGTTACCCCAGCACGGCCCCCAAACCACCACCACCACATATGGGCAGGGTCCCCAGCCACCGACAGACCGGCCCTCCTCTCTGACAGTCCAGCCACTGTGTGGACGTCTCAGGTGGATGGCTGCTGTTAATTTCCCCCCGCTCAGCGAAGAGCATCAGAGGGGCGGCCGGCCTCTGTGTGTGTTCAGGTGTCAGAGCCCCAGTTAGAATACTGCCTCTTTTCTTCAGGCCCCTCCGTATGGAAGATTATAGCAGGGTCTCTTTTCTAGAAACCCGAGTCTAAATCTCACTGACGAATTCTGCCTCTGCTCCCTTTACGGGCTGCCTTCATGGCAATGATGACGGATGGTGATTTAACAACTCGGGAGGGGTCAGTGAAGCTGGAGGTCTTTGCTTTTTAGATCAAAACTTTCTTTCACCTCAGCGTTTATGAGCATATCCCAAAAGAGCGGTCAAGTGGTTTTTCTGAAGTACAGAACTCAGCTTAACCGAGAGTCCAGTGCAGATGCCGGTGGGTTTCCTGCACTGGTCACCTGCTGTGTGATAATCACCGGCTCCTCGGTAGATGCTGCCCGCCTGTCATCGGTTTGTTTGCTCTCCTGTGGTCAAATCGGCGTATGAGAGGAATTGACCCTCCGGAAAAGTCTGGATCTATTTCAAGCTCTGGTCTCAATAGCTAAACACTTTCAGGTTTTCTTTGGCATCCCATCATTAAAACTCGTAACACCCATCTGAACGAGGAAAATGGCCGTCTTTCACGCAAAGACCACCTACATAAGAGTGTGGTGTAAACATGCAACCTTGGGCAGGGGTCACATCTTTTTCTTTTAAATGCACCCTCTGTTGCTGTCTGTGCAATTAAATCATTATGGTAATCATGGTTGAAACCCCTTTTTTTCAACCCCCTTGCCTAAGATATTATGTGCTTGTAAGTACTGACAATTCTGTTGTTAAAATTTGGGCGCTCAGGCTCTCCGGCTTGTTAATATGCACGACTGCTGTTTGCGCTCATGAATTGGACCCTGTAAATCTGCAGCTGTGCAGATTGAACAGCATCAGGAATTTAAATTTGTGCTTATAGCCAGTCAGTACAAATTGTTCTTGAATCTCGCTAAAGAGGAAACTTTGGACTAAAGTTCCTGCTGCAAATCGAACTCTGCGATAGGTGGCTTTGTCCTCCAAAGGGAACAAAAGAGGAGAGAGGGATCCACCCTCAGTCTCCTCTCATGACACAAGGCATGATGTATATGAGGTCGTTGTTTTGAAAGCCCAAAAAAAAAAGGAGAGGAAAAGATCTTTCGTCCAATCTGGTTTAATGAATAAATGCTGAGGAAGCTTAATTTCAAACAGCTGTTTCCTCACAGTTTACACCCAAGTTTTGCTCTTCTTCTCCTTGTTTGCATCCGTCCGGAATCAAGCTGCAAAACGATCTGAGTACACAGCTAGCCAGCCACAGAGGCCTATGGTGTCACACATGCGTAAGCTATTGGAATTTATCATTCAAGGACAACAAAATAAGGCTGCCAGCAGGGATAGTAAATACATTACAGCACACTTCAGCCCCCCACAGCTCAATTGGCAGAGTTGGACCGGCTGAATCTGGACCGGGTCCAAGCAGGAACAAAGCAAAACATAGCACTTTAGAACGGCGAGGAAGGAGGACAGCTGCATCGTGGGAGCCAGAACACCTCCTCGCAGACGCTCGCCTGCTGCATGACCCGAGTGGGAACTGAGTGGGAGCGGGTTCACTGTCTTCTGCCTGAACGTGTGCGTTTGTGATCATGACAGCCTTTTCAGGGCAAGGCTTTCTTGGAAAGGCCCCTTCATGAAGAAAAAAAGATTTTTCCTCTCCTTTTGCCGAGCTTCCAAGCCGGTGCTCACGTTACCGGGTGACTCTATGGCTGCAGGCATTCGTCATGAGTTGTTTTTGGGAGGTGCACTCTCAGAGAAGAAAAAAACACCTAATTGTACCTTTAGGTGTCCAAAGATGTGTCAATGGGGTGGTTCTCTCAAAGGTCAGGCAGTTGTACTCGTACAGTTTATCCATTTACTACTTGGGGACATTCAGGGCTTCTAGAGTTGGAAATAAGTGCTTCGGGGTCCAGTTATTAGCCATACAGGGTACATAAGTCAAGAAAGAAAACTCAGGAGAGACATGCATGTACACTCATTGTGCCCCTGTTTTTGACATTGTGGTGTAGAACACCTTGTAATTATTACTTATTGCCAACACAAACTGGACCTAAAGGACAGATTTCCTTTTGTCCTCTGTGCTTTTGGGTAATGTTTTTCAAAGGGTGTGGCCAGAATTAGTGTGTCACAGTGCATATGCCAAGAGTATTCTGAAACTCAACAGTTCACATAGGCAGAGGAAGTGAAAAAAGAAACAGAAGAAGGACCAAGTTTGTCCCGCAGCGTCCTCTCGGCCACAGGGAAGATATATTTCTCCACGAGGCCTGCAGAGCACCACAGCCTATTGGCAGTGGAAGAATTGATGAGGCCAGGAGGAGACTGTGTCTTCCATCTGGGTCTGACAGTGAAGGCTGGAATGTCCTCAGCCTGAACAGCCTGCCTCTCTCCGCAGTCATGTGGACAACAGCCCCCACACTAGGTAGCCTGAGGAGAGCTGTCATGTGGGCTAGTAAGGCCCAGCTAGCTCCTCTTGTGCTGTTGTTTTTAAAAGGCACCCACACACTCTCACAGAAACATGTACTGTAAACGCCTGCACTGTGTACGCACCATGAGCACATTTCCCATGAGAGGAAGCCCGGGTAGGTGTCTGTTTTGTGTTGTGTGTCCACCGATTAGTGTTGAAAACCCCCCCTTTTCCTGCTTGTGTGTAGCTGATCATATCAGAGAAGGATGATTGTAGGTTATTTCAGCAGCTTTTACCCTGCAACACTGCAACTGAATGCAGTCTATTACTAAAGAAAATAATGGTGTGCAACCCTGAGCTACTGTGTGTCTGATGCTCAAAACACAGCACACGACAACAAAACGGAAAAGCCAGATGCTCAGAAAACGAACGAGGCACCAAAAAAATAAAAGAAACCACAAACATTTACAGGAAGAAACACATTTTTCAACACTGAAAATGAAGAAAAAACAGCTTGGAAGAACATAGAAATGAGGACATAAAAGAAAACTTTGTTGTGAGCGCTCTCTGATATGCGACCTTATGAATATGTTGAATTTATTTCTCTGGATAACTTTTTTTGGTTTTGAAGTTTGTTAAGCTTTCCGATACATGCATACGTTTAGATGTTTAAATCTGGGAATGGAAATTCACATTAGACTTTGGAAAACTGTTCCTCACAACGGTACGACTCATGAGATCCATTTAGAGACTGTTTTGGATCGTCAGACCATATGAAATGGTTCAAAGGCTACACTGAACAGGCCCAGGCTCTGTGTTTTAAGAGACATAATCATGTTTGACTTAAACTCTTCTCTGTGATGATGAGTTACTCGGAGTGGCGCTGAGCAGCTTGGGTCACCTCTCCACCTGAAAGTGAAGGATAGATCAGACATGCTTTCAGGATTGGTCTGAGGGATGAATAACACAGCATTATTCCGCTCTGACACCATGTTCATCATATCAGCTTGTAAGAGAAACAATGACAAGCGATGTTGCCTGTATTGGTAAAGCCGGACCAAACTGATGTTCTGATAATCTCATCTCTTCCAGCTGTCATCCCTCTGACCGACTCCGAGCACAAGCTGCTGGCACTCCATTTTGCCGTGGACCCGGGCAAGGACTGGGAGTGGGGGAGGGACGACAACGATAATACCAAGCTAGCCAAGTAAGTCCTGTGTAGCACGTCCCAGGGTGAGTCCTATAGACACACCACACAGGCGATCACTGCAAAAAACAACTCCTCGATGGAGATTGAGAGTGAAAAACTGCTGGCCGAGGCACTTCATTCAGTCCAGCCATGAGGCTCTGTGTGGGGGATTTAACTCCGATTATGAGATCTGGGCTCTGGTCACTTCAAAGAGCGAGTAGTGAGAGAACAAATTGTGAGTCATGTCAGTCATCCGTCGAGTCTCCCAAGAATGGCCTCTCTGAGGCAGCAACACCCTCTCTGAGTTTAGCAAAAAGTTTATGTAAGGGGTTCAGTTTCACATTCCTTCCAGTCAGGGGTTTAACTTATCCTCGAATAATCTGCGATATGAACAATGCAGATACACATAGAAAAGATGCTAAAAGCGCCTCCTAATTCCTTAGCTCTGCAAACCCTAATCACATTGCAGGCATTTTCAGGCAGCAGGTTGCTTTAAATTGGGGGACCTCCACAGTGTGAAAACGCAAACACAGAGAGGCCGTAAACGCTTTTTTTGTCAGAAATATTTATTTGACATACTACACAAAATCCCTGCTGGTAACGACTGCGATACATTATTTCCACAGTCTCATCTTGTCTCTGGAGGCCAAACTCAACTTGCTGCACAACTACATGAATGTAACGTGGATCCGAATCCCATCTGAAACAAGGGTGAGTGTTTCTCTCACATGTGCGTTGTATTTGTTACAGTTAATTTAGCTTTGGAGAGACTCCCTCGTTTCCAGATGTTTTTGAAACCTCAGTAAGTTTTATTTACTGTCTGATTCCAATCATCTCTGGTATGTATGTGCGTCCTGGCTATGAGTCATTAAAAATGGGCAATTAAGTTGTTTTTTGTTCATGCAAAGATGATGATTTTCTTCAGTTGTCGTGCATCTGCTTTTGTTCAGGCTCCCCTGGCTCAGCCAGAGTCGCCCACGGCCTCTGCGGGTGAGGACGTCCAGTCTTTAGCTGAGTCCATGGACTCAGACCGCGAGTCTGTCGGCAGCAACTCTAACGTAAACACCGGCAAGCCCGGCAAGGAGAAGGACAAAGACAAGCAGCGCAAAGACAAGGACAAGAGCCGGGCTGATTCGGTGGCCAACAAACTGGGCAGCTTCAGCAAAACTCTCGGTATCAAGCTGAAGAAGAACATGGGAGGCTTGGGCGGGCTTGTGCACGGCAAAATGAACAAATCGAACTCTGGCTCAGGTCGTAACGGGGAGAACGGGGGAGAAAAGACAAAAAAGAAGGAGTCGAAATCAACCAAGGGAAGCAAAGAGGAGTCCGGCCATTCTACCAGCTCCACCTCCTCTGAGAAGACCACCACTCCCTCCCCTACGGATGGAGACAGACCGTCCAGCTCGTCCCCGACCGAGAGGCTGGACAGCGCAGGGCGGGGCTCAGGGGACAAAACCCTGGAAAACTGGAAGTACAGCACAGATGTCAAGCTCAGCCTCAACATCCTGCGGGCCGCCATGCAGGGGGAGCGCAAGTTCATTTTCGCAGGGCTCCTGCTCACCAGCCACCGGCACCAGTTCCACGAGGAGATGATCAGCTACTACCTGACCAACGCCCAGGAGCGCTTCAGTCAGGAGCAGGAGCAGAAGAGGAAGGAGGCCGAGAAGAAGCCCCCCCCCGCCGCCAGCGAGCCGGCGGCCAAGAAGCCCGAGCATGACGGCGCCTTCCAGAGGGAGCGATCGGACAGCTCGCCTCCGGAAAGCTGCTCCCCCGTCCTGCCCCACCACGCCTACAGCAGCCCGCAGCCCCTGCTGGCCCTCAAGACGCAGGGCAGGAACAGCCCCACGCCGGCCGCCGCGCTCGTCCCCGTCCCGGTCCCTCCTCTCACCCCCCCGACGGCCCCGCACCACGCCTCCCACCCGGCCCCGCCCCCCGCGCCTTACTCCTCCCCCAGCATCGGTGCTAAGAGAACCGGGCCGGTTCCCGTGTCCGCCCACTACAGCCATACGCCGCCCATCCAGAGACACAGCGTGATCCACTTACAAGATGTCAACATGCAATCCTCCATCTTCCAGGATGAACCCTACAAGCCTATGGTGGGCACCCTAAAGACGTGCGCCACCTACCCCCAGCAGAACCGCACGCTCTCGTCCCAGAGCTACAGCCCGGCGCGCCTGTCCGGGGTCCGCACTGTTAACACCATGGACACCCTGGCCTACAACATGCCCGGCGAACACAAGTCCCACACCTACACCAACGGATTCAACGCGGGAGACATTCAGGACTGCCTTGAGTTTGCGGACGAGGACAACTCGTCTCACACCTGGCTCAACCAAGACAAAACCAAAGGGCGGAGCTCTGGAAGCCCTTTGTACTGCTTTCAGCAGCGCCGCTGCAAAAGGGAGAACTGCTCTTTCTACGGGAGGCCCGAGACAGACAACTACTGCTCGTACTGCTACAGAGAGGAGCTCAAACGCAGGGAGAGGGAGAGCAAACTGCAGAGGCCCGTATAGCTATCACCACCACTTCAGCCACCACACGGCCGCAGGAGGGAACAACACCATCCGCACTCTGAATTTCCACCATGGCCAACATTACCCATTCGGTTGAAGAATGCTTGTGTGTTGCCGCCACCTTCCCTTGTCGGTAAAGATGACTTTATGACGGGGGAAGCAGAACTGGAAACAGGGAGCAGCTTTGGCCAGATATTTTCGTCAACTTCTGTCCCATTGAATTTAGTCTTTTACTTGTTTTAAAGTAAAAGTCATCTCCACGTGATGTAATTTTCTGTATGTGAAGGAAAGTTCTTTATTTTTTGAAGTACAAAAAAAAAAAAGAATGCATCATCATCAGGAAGGAACATTTTAGCCCTTTTAATCAGTTTGAATGCAATACCTCTGCCTGGTTCTTCAAAATGTCTGTGGGAAATTTGTAGTTGTTTTGCAATCAAAGGAAATTTGAAGGGGGATTAGTATTAGACTTTAAAGCAATAAATTGGTGATTTTTGCTACACTCTCTCCCAATTTTGTCTATGCACCGATAATATAATTTCTGTGGGTTAACTGTGTCTTGTAAATTATAAAAGAATGTCACAGTGTGTTTTTGTAAACAAATTTGAACTACAGGAATTAAAATGTGTGAGCATTATAGATTGTACTGTTGGATTAGGATGAAGTGTTGAACTGTCATTTGTTAAGTGTACCTTCGTTCTTGCCATGTTGAGAGGGTGTCGGAATTGGACCTACAATATTGACATCTATCTCTTTTGCCCATAGTTGACCTCCTGAAGTCCACAAACACTGCCAAGCTGGCTTCTTTACCAAAAAAACTAAACAATTACTGTCCAAATTTTCAGATTATTTCTGTGCCAAACACGGAACAACATGGATAAGATGAGTTTCCTCTCAGATATGCAGTGTTTGTTCATGGTGTGCTTCTTTGAGTTGCCTGTCAACAACTCTACCCCGTAAATGTGTTAGATGAGACAAACTGTGAGTGGTGGGAGCAGGGTGATCTGTATTCGTCTAAAGTGTTATTACTTGTCTCTCCCCCAACGCACACATACACACACGCACCAAACAATGTGCAATCATGCTAACAGCACCGTGTGGTGACCTGCAGTATAAACGTGTCACCTATCCAGTGTGAGATTGTTCTTCTTCCGTATCTAGAGGCCGCTAAAAGAAGCACCTGCTGCTACGAGCACCTCAAGCCTTTGTGATCATCAGTGCTTTAACCAATCAGTGGGATTTTCAAAAAAATACCCAGGCCTCCAAGTGCTTTCTGCTCATTTGACATGACTACTGTAAAAGACGCAGTGTTTGTGTTGCTGTCTGTTCTGGTGATGCTTGGATAATGTACCATGCTGTCCGTCAGTGTGTCCTGGCCAAGGATGTCCACTGCTCCCTCAGTTTGCTTCTGTCTCTCTCCTGTACACACTGCGGTGTTGCTCCTCTTTGTTTCTATGTGACTAGTTCATGGACTCTCACCATGTTAGGACTGTAAGATATGATTTTGTTTTCCTTTAAGAGTTTTACACTACTTTAAATTATTGATTTGCACATTAGGTACAGATGTAAATATGAAAAAAAAATAGTTTATTGTTACAAACATTGCGTGTGATTGTGTGTGTGTTATTTTGTTTCACAGCACAGAGTAATTGGGAGAACATGAATTTAACATTCAGGATTGTTAAGAGTTATTTTCTGGAAAACGTGTCACTTTGCACGACAATACACGTTTCCCGTTCCTACCTATTTTCCAGTGAGGCGGAACACCATTTGATAAACACTTTGTAATTATGCCAGATAATCCAAAGATATCAGGATATTTTACACATCAAACACATATAACTCTCTTTCAAATGGTTCCAGCTGTGTTAGCGCTCAAAGTTACCCATCATCCTTACATGAGTAGAGCAGCGGATTAGTGCTGCATTTCCATAATGCTGGGAGACTTGCATGTGACAGATTAAAGAAGCATGCTGTTAATGTAAAGGTCAGCCTGCTCAAAACGGAGAGCTGCCATCAGCCTGTGAAAACACTTAGAAAAAGTCTCAAGTGGGGTTTGGTGGATTTTTGTCAATTCTGAGGGAGAAAAAACTGAAAAAAAGAAAAAACATTTAATCAGGCTTATCTGGTTTACAGACTGGCTATGAGGTTTTGAAAATGGGGGCAGCCTAATTAGAAACAGTAGGGTACATTACAGGGACTGAAAGTCATTTTATTCTCAGTATTTGTTACACCGCTATGCTTTTATCTATCCAGTTTGCCAGAGGTACAATTCACATCAAATTGTTATGAAAGTGTTTTTAAAAAGATGGTCAAAGCTGATTCCTTGGACACTGAAATAACAAGATCTTTATTCTGGTTTCTGATTGAGACCAAAACCCCCAAATCAAATCCCAAAGCTTGGCTGAATTTCAAAACTGAAATTCACGTCTGCAAAAAGGTCATTAATCTTGGCTTTTTGGATAATTCAGACAAAATGGAGTGACGATAAAATCTCGCCAAAATTGGTTTGGGGTTACAGAGTTGAGGATCTTGCACCAGCTGCCAAGTAGGGCAGCCCTCCAGGCCTGTAGCTGTAACCGTGCCTTATTTCTCCAGGGATGCTTCCTCGTTGGCAGGAGGGTTGGCAGGAGGATTGACACCAGGCTGCGCAACCAGGCACGCAAGAAGCCACCCAACAATCTGCAGCCACATTTAGGAGAGGTGTCCTCTCACTCCTGCTGGGGTTAAATTAAGGGGAGGGCTCTCTCTGTACGTTAGTATTTTCCACCCCACAGACTGAGTCAGAGGATATTCGGAGAGATTTATTTGTCACCGTCGCAGTGCTGGGCTGAAGTTAATTACAGCTTTATTTAATCTTTTAATGGGGGGAGCAGGAGCTGCTCGTGAGAACGGTTCAGTGAGAAAGGTTTCACTTCCCAGTTCTGCTCAATAAAAAGTCTGGACCCTGTGAAATAGGAATAGAGACACTATGTTGAGAAGAAGCAGACATATCGCTGCACTCGGAGAAGGCAAAATTGCTTTGGACTTATTCCATTATCTGTATTTAGGACAACCTTTATGTAAAGCAATTTACAAGGAACAAATTAGTGGGCAAAATGGAGTTCAGTGTTTTAATCTGTAGACTGAGGAAGAAGGAAGGTTTCACTTTTTTTAGCAAGACATTAACAAACCACATTCAACATTTCACAAAGATCAAATCCATAGTTAAATAATAAACTCTCCATCCTGCAGTCCAAATCCATCATCCACTGAAAAAGACAGGGGCAAAGAAACAAACAAAAAAGAGACCCCAAAACCAAAATCAGCCAGAATTATGGAGTAGTTTTACTTCAAAACTGCCCACAAGCGGTCCCCTAACTCTGTTCTAAAAAAAGAGTTAAAAGAGCTGATGTGTCTGATATGTGTATTTTTAATTACTTTGCTTTCTGAGAAGTTTGCCTCTGATCAAAAAAGAAACGACAAGAAAGCATACAAGCGTGCTCAGCTCTTTTCTAATGGCATATGCACATAGAGCATGAAGCTCCAGCCTGAGCTTACAGCTTGGCTCAAAGTACCTGCAGATTTAAAAACAGCGAGAGACAGAAGTGTGAACATGCACAAGAGTTATAACATTCACAAGGTGTTTGCCTTTAAAAGTTTCAGGTCCCATTTCTTTCTCAGCTCATGAGTGCGAACTACATTTGCTGTACAGTAGCAGCAGGGCTGAGGTGGTGGAGGGGGCTCAGCCTGTAATGAGTGGGATGAACTGCATGCTCCTGAATCCCATGACTGGGCTTTTGAAGACGATAATGTGGATTAAACACACTTCTCTGGTTTATATCCCACTGTGCTGCTAATAGTATGGAATGACTGCAGATGTAAAGATGAAGTGCACCTGCCCATCGTGTCAAGTGTTAACACAGAAGTGTTTCAGCGACTTTGTCCTCCACTCCTGTATTATTCACTGTCCGTAACAACACGAAAAAGAAACAGAACACTTTGTCTGCTTTCTTGGAATCCCTTTCCTCCTTTGAATTTGCAATAACAGCCCTCTTTTACTTTTCAAAATGACTCAAAGCCCTATGCACACATGCATACAGCTGCAGTGAGCCAGGCTTTTCTTTTTGACTAACACTGCCCCCTCCACTTTTTAAATTCACTCTGTCCATTTTTAAAGGAAAATTTTAAAGGGATCCTTTGAAGTCATTTGATATGTTTTTGTCCTTCCCAGTATAATTAAAATGCATTAGAATCCTTAACAGAACACAATAGCTCATAAATATTGATTCTTATGGTAAGTAGGTCTCTCATTACAATAGTGAAATTATAATGTTCAACAAACACACATCTCCAATGGGTTTTATAAATAGAAGATTTTAATTCTATTGGCACAGTTTTACACCTTCTATACAATCTGACAGCATCTCTACCCGGCAGCATTATGCAGGTTTGTTTTTAGTGGGGTTGTCGCCTCTAATGCCTGTGTTGCTATTGATGCCTTTTACCTCCCCTTCCCCCACCAGCCCGCCAACCTCCCGTAGCTTAGCCTTGTTTTCAGTCAGTGCCAGCCATCCAATATCTGAGCACATCCCATCCGCTCTGCAAAATCCTGCGCCAGTCCTGCCGTACTGTACAAGTTGGGAGTGGGTGGCATCACATGGCCCTTCATCCTGCCTTCTGGGGCTTGGCTTGGAGAAAGGCCTACTCACATGCAGAGGCCTCAGTGTGATTAAGACCTGGGCTCCGGCTGCTGCGGACCACCTCTTTTCCATTTTTTCACGTGGCGTGGTTCAGTTGATTCTCAAAGTCAGCATTGCCCACAAACCTCAGCGGACCGTAGAGCCTTTTAAGCTCTCAGAGCCTCCCACGCTTTGAGTGTTACTAGATTGAGCACACCGATCAGCACTGATAGCACCTCCCACTTACCCCTTCATTCCAGTATTTTTCTCACTCACTAGCCCTTGCATTGAATATAACGTGGTTCTGCTTCTAATCCGAAGCTTCCTCCGCAAGAGGAATCCCAACTGATAACTAGGTGCTGATAATCCAAAGGAAAGGTGTGACCGAAGAGATAAATCAGTCAAACCGAAACCTCCTCCGCCCCCACATCCTGTCTGCAGCTTGATACCAGCAGAGATGTGTTCCCAACGCCCATATAACTGTTTGTACTTGTGCTCTGCATCTGCAGCAATATACCACACTAAAAACAAGAAAATGCGTCTTCTTGAGAGCAAACACGTGATTGAAAGACAACAAAGTCGCAGAGAATACAGGCTTCACCCACACAATCAGCACAGCCCGGATGTGTTTCATAATCCAACAGGAGGTCTGTGAAAAATCTCGGTCAGTGGTCTCCAGAGGGAGTCCATTAAGACTCCAACATCATATTTTCAGAAGTTCTACAACTACGCGGCGTTGAGGGGAGATGCAGGGTTGATACATTTAGAAGTTCAGTTATGATAAAAAAAGTGGATCCCTGCCACCATTCTAAGCAAAATACTATCAGAAGAAATGTTGAAACGTAAACGGCTATTACTATCCCTCACTGCTGGCAGACGAAAATGCAACAACAAACAAGCTCTTAAGATGCTGGCTGTCAGGGCCCACCGCTACGCTGCCATGCCAGGGCCAGCAGCTCGTCTGCTCGCGAGCTCCAACCAGCCAGGAGACGGGAGGTGTGTACAGCCTGTGCAAGGAGAACACCGGGCTTTTCATCAAGAATTTTAATGTCCGGGCTCTTTCTCAATCCTCACTCCACATTGCATATGATTCATTGAGCAGGAAAGGCCACGCCTGTGATCTCTTTCTGCTGCTGGTGGTCAAACCCGGATGAATTGGGGGATATATTCTATACAAAGAGCAAATGCAGATGAGAAATACTGTTTTTTGTACATCATATTTTGAGTGCTTTCATACATAGGAACCCTGTGTAGGCTGTAGTGGGTGAGTTATTATCCCCTGACTGCAAGTACACATTGTATGTGCAGCATATTTTACCCATTTTATCAGTCTATTATGCCTAATGTGCAATAAGGAAGGAAGGAGTCCCTAGCATTTTCCACCACACCCATTGTTGATACCCCAGCAGTTACTGTAAATATTTGCATGGGTGAAATGCAGGAACAAGGTGTACTTCCTGTTGTAAGAAAAATACTCAAGCACGTGGCAAACTTGTGACAAAAGACAGTAAAAGAGAGGAACATCACTCCTCCCCCTGTACAGTAATGCTCTGCTGTTTTTAACCAGCTTCAAAGTAACAAAAGAAAAGATTTTGGAGCTATTTCAAATAGCAAACATCAAAGTGAAACCAGACCAGAGATTATGGTCTGAAAGGAGTGTGCCATTTGTAAACAATAAGAAACCCACCTTGCCCTCATCAGGTCAGCAGTGGCCTTGTAGCTTTGTTTGCACGGCCATTGTTTTACTATAGCTGTTTACTTAAAACTGTGTGTGACAAAATGTGCTATCTGTAATATTCAGTGACTCATTAACTGTGTGCAAAGGAGAGTCAGTAGGAAATTTGTAGTAAACACCACCCTGAGGCTGATAAACTGCAGTATTAATGGAAGTAGCCTTTTCATTTTTAGAAAAAAAGGGCTTTAAACCTGCA